CTAGTCTAGTCCTAGTCTAGTCCTGGTCTGGCCCTGGTCTAGTCCTGGCCTAATCCTGGCCTAATCTTGGTCTAGTCCGTGTTCAACCCTGGTCTGCAGTAGTCCTGGTCTAGTCCTGGTCTGGTTCTGGTCTACAGTAGTCCTGGTCTGGCCCTGGTCTAGTCCTGGCCTAATCCTGGTCTAGTCTTGGTCTAGTCCGTGTTCAACCCTGGTCTGCAGTAGTCCTGGTCTAGTCCTGGTCTGGTTCTGGTCTACAGTAGTCCTGGTCTGGTCCGTGTTTTGTCCTGATGTAGTCGTGGTCTGGTCCTGGTCTAGTCCTGGTCTAGTTCGTCTTTAGTCCTGGTCTGCAGTAGTCCTAGTCTAGTCCGTGTTTAGTCCTGGTCTACAGAACAAATTCGCCTCTATAACGTCAGCCTCGATGAGCTTCATTTGACTGGAGCTGAACTTCTTTACACAGTCTGTGGTCGTTCCCTGATCATTTATAATCAGTGCAGATTTTTACTTCAGTTTCTCGTTGTTTTCTTCTTGTATCATGAGACCGAACCGACTCGTGTCCTTTGAGTGAACTCATATTTTGTTTATTATCTCACTCTCTTACTTAATCTGTTTAATCTATTCCTCTCAGTGCAACACGCTGGTCAATGGCGAGTATTGATCCTTGAGTTAAGAGCCTTCTGCGCTTTTACAGACGAGTCGAGAGCTGCTCCTGCGTTACACAACAACACGAGAGACGTCCACTGCTCTGGAGGTCAGTGCGTTTCAGAGATTTATTGATGCTTTATAGTCCAAGTTTCAAAAGACCTGCGAAGTTGTTTGGGTTTTGTCAAAATTTCTGTACTAAAGGTTGAGTTCACGGGACATCACAACACGCTGGAGTTCCTATCGTTTGAAACTGAAGTGGAAAACAAGGTGAGAATTTGATGGAAGAATTGTCAGATTGTACATTTGTTTATGGGGAAAATAAACTCAGAGGACGGACGGAGGAAACTGCAAAAATTTTAGCAGACCAACAACTGAAGCACCAAACTCTTATTTATCACAAAGCCCCTAAGTTTTGGAATGCCCTCCCTCTTCATCTGAGATCATGCTCCTCCTAAAAACACATTTTTTCAAGACGGTTCCTCTGCTCAGTTTCATTTCTCTCCAGCGACTAGGTCAGGAATCAGAATACACTAGACGGTTTACAAGAACCATGGAAGTTGTAGACCGTGCACCGCCCAATCAACAAAGAGCTGTGAAGCCATGATGTCAAACTCAAGCGCCTGTCTGGGTCCCTTTTGTGTTACAGCACAACAGTAAACAAAGCGTCGAGATGGATGTAGATTAAGACAGACATTCTGTGTTGGCAACGATTCCCGAGATCGAGGATTTAAAGCTGGAACAAAGAGAATGTTTGGTGAAATTTATCAAGAGGAAAGAACATTATGGCTACGTTCAGACTGCAGGGCTTAACGCTCAATTCTGATTTTTTTGTGAAATCCGATGTTTTTGCAAGGTTGTTCACATTTCCAATTAAATGCGACTTGTATGTGACTCCAGTGTGAACATTAAACGGCCCGAAAGTGTCCTGCATGTGCACTGGAGGACACGATGACGTCAACCGCAGCGAGCGTGCTCTGTGTTTACGGAAGTTGTCCAAATATGGACGCAGCATTGAGCACCTGGAGAGTTTAAAGTTCCTCTTTTACCGGAGCCAGAACATGAACAACTTACTTGTTTTAAGGAGGAGATTGAGAAGGAGAAGGACGAGGTTTTTTTGGCCGTGGTGTTTTGTGGGGCAGCGGCAGCGACGTCCGTTGAAAGGAACGTGTGGATGTGGAGACGGAGCCAAGAGTGGTGAGTGGTGATGTGCTTCACTTCAGTGACACGGAGTTCATTAACAATTTTCGCCTACTTCAGCGCAAAATAGTGACGTTTGTGGCTTGTTGATGACGTGTAGGTCAGATGAATGCACTTTGGCCATTCAGACTGAAGTCGCATGTCAAAAGATTAAATATGTATCGGTTTTAGGACCACATATCCAAGTGACCTGGGTCGCATTTGAAAAAATCTGATCTGTGTTGTTCAGACTGTCATTAAAAGATCAGATACAGGTCACATAGAAGCCAAAAAATCAGATTTGCGTCACTTCAGGCTGCAGTCTGTACGTAGCCTATTGCCTTTCTTCCTACGGGATTTGGCGCATTACATACGTCACGACCAAATAGCAGCAAAAAAAGTACCCGCCTACCGTCGAGCGAATGAATCCTAATGCTTTGATGTCAGACGGTTTCCAAAAAGTGAAACTGGCTGATGAATCAGGCCAATTCAACCGCCCATGAGCTTTACTCTGAAGCTGTCAACTTTAGACTTTTATCTGTATTAAGCCACTTCATTCATGTAATATTTTTTATATTTATTTCTTATATATTATATTTGTTTCACTATGTCGTGTTTCATGGTGTAAAGCAGTGTTTCCTAAAGACTGGCTCGTGACCCTCAGGTGGGTCGTAAGAGATTTCTTGGGACCACCATCCTGCTTCTCATTTTTTCAGCATCACTGCCTTGCCTAACCAACTTTCTGTAGCAAAAAACAAGTGGGAAAATTTATTTTGACTCGTATTTATATTATATTGACTTGTGACTTTTAAAATACAGGTCCCCAGAAAAAAGTTTGGGAAACGCTGATGTAAAACACTTTGATGCAACTTGTTATGGGTGTTTTAAATGTGTTGTATAAATTAAATTACATGACTTGACTTGACTAAAAGAAGTTACTATCAGGACAGTAGACGGGGGTGTCCCAAGGGCCCAGAATTGGACTTTCTTTCTATTCATTGATATTAGAGGGGGGCCCATGTAAGGCTTCTTGCCCTGAGGTTTTTGATTTTATGATGTGATTATCTCTGTTTACTGGGCACTAAAGACCAGAGTGCCTATTAATTTTATATCCAGTAGCGTGGCCATTCTCCCCATCCGCCCATCTCTGCCTGAAAACTGCAACACACACACTAAACCTGAGCCATTATAAATCATTTTCAATCATATTAACAAATTATGAAGAAGACCTATTGGTGGTTGTAATATTTAAAGGGCCCATATCACTCTATTTTTTTAATCTGTGTTATAATGTTGTGTTGTGACTAAAAATACCTGGAGTTGTGTTTTTGTTGACATGGCATCTAGAATAAATTTTGTGGAATATATGCCTGTTGCTATTGAAGCCCAACTTTGTGCTCTAATAAATGGACAGTGATTTATGTTTTAATAGGAATGTAACTGTACCCAAAAGCTCGTCCTCTTTCTTATAATTGTTCTAATTTCTTTCTAGCAGTCTGGCATTTTTGTTTTGTAAAGGAGCTCACTGGAGGAAAAAGTGTGGAGACCCCTGCACTATAAAAATAATCAGGTTCAACCTTTTTGGATATTTAATGTCAAAGTACAGTGTAATCTACAGGAGAAACTGTCTGAGTCTGACCTCATTCTATTTTAGGATCTGAAAACCACAAATTGACTCATATGAATGATTTGATTGTGTAATTAACTTTTATAGGGAATGAGAACTAAACACGAGATTGCCTATTAATTTAACATCCAGCAGCGCGCGTGGCGGTTTCCCCTCTCCACGTACCCAAAGGGGCGGGTCGTGTCCACGTGTAGCCGTGCACGAGGCCATCTGGTGACGCGCGTGGAGCAGAGACGCCAGAAGAAGGAAAAAAAAACAAAACAAAGCAACAACTTAATCTGGCGTTAGTCCCGTTACCATCTCCTAATCTGGCTCAGCAACAGCAAAAAACCCACACTGTCTACGGACGCGTGAACGTGACTGCAACGTGGTTACCTTGGAAACAACAAGAGCTCTCCCTCCCAAAATCTAAAAAAAGGTGCTGTTTGATATTTGGGTCACTACTATGTGTAAATTAGGGTGATCAGACGTTCCTATTTACACAAAAATGTCCCAGTTTGAAGCCCTGTGTCCCCTGTTCCAGCAGATTTATCCAAAAACATCGATTTGTCCCAGTTTTATACAAGAAATGACACTATTTTTGACCAATTTTATCCTTGCCAACAGTCAAAAGAGGCAGAAACTGTCATTTATTTTGGTAAAAAATACAGAAAAGATGCTTTAAAAATGACCAAAACACAAAGAAAAACAAAGAAAATGTAACTGCACTGACTCACATTAGTGTATAACATTTTTAATACGTACTTGTTTCACAGTTTTATTATTATAACCAACCCAAACCGAGTGTCACAGTTTTTTATTTTGAAATTCTGGTCAAAAAAGTGTAAGTGTATCAAATTATTGAAGCTATTAACTGCAAATATCAACAATAAACAGAGTGTCTTAAGTGTTAGAGGAGGAATAATACACGTTTTGATGGTGAATAATTCATGTTTTTATAATGTTTTTAATGTAGGCTGACTTAATATTTTTTTTGATAACGCAATTGTTAACCATCACTAGCCTTTTTAAATTACAATATATGCATTTTTTAAACTATAATTTACACTTTAGGTATCTCAGAAAGGCTGCCAGGAATTCATATGGAAGCCAACAAATACGGGATTCAATGTCGCTAAAAACACTGAGCATTACGCACGCACGTGAGCGGTGCAAGCCATGCGTAAACATCCCACAGTGACTGATTTAAGACCCCTGTCCCCTCCCTCTGCGCGCTGTCTTTAATCCTTTAGACAGAGATGAGTATTTCTGGTGACTGGAGGACGCAGATGAACCGCTGTGCGTCGAGAGTACGGAGAGTTGGTGCCACGGGAAGGAACACGGCATGATTGATTACGTTAAACACGCGGTTATGGTTACAGAATGGTTAAGATCAGCGTCTGACCAAGGTTAAATGATAAGGAATACGGTTAGGCTCGTCCCTCTGGTGCCATCTCACCACGCTCTCGCACGAACCGGGAGTGTGTGAGCTTTTTACGCGGATACGTCGGTGCGTAACAGCGGCGTGGACGCGGAGACCTACGGAGATACGGCGCCGAGGAGATGTGGGCGTGGTTTTCGCCTTCTAAGATGATGCCAACTAAAATAAAACTGGCTTCTCGCTTCTCACCGGAGCCAATCCAGAGAGAGGACTCGGGAAAAGGCGATGTCATCTCCCCAGCGGATCTAGTGTTGTTGCTTTAAAGCCGCAGCGCCTGTTTGTGTGCTTGTCTCCACCCCGTTTCAGCTGTACATTTATAAGAACTGTTTTGCTTTTTTGTTAATTTTTTTTTATCGCTTTTATCTGCTGTACTGTTGCATCATCTGTAGCCATGTCGGAGTCGGAGGATATGACGGAGTTTGCCAGCATCGTGGAGCGGATCGAGCGCGGAGAGGTGAGTGCCGGAGTGGGTGATTTATTGCGGGGTTTGACAGCGGTGCTCTGCCTGTCAGTGATCCATGGGCAGCGGCCTGGACGCTTGCAAAACATACGCTCCACATCACACGCGATTACATAGAGGGAAAGCATGCAATTACATCATTCTACAGCTATTAATAGCGCTGTAACGTTGGATCATGAGCATTGCAATTTATGCGAGAATCATTTTTGTGTCAAGCTCTTTCTTCCACTATTGCACCACGTTTTTAATCCAGTTTTATTTCTACATGATTCATCAACTCTCACCTTACCTATAAAGGCAAGGGGAGTGTCTTGCCCAAGGATACAATGACTTGCTTAGACTTAAACAGACTTTATTGATCCACAAAGGAAATTATTTTGGAGACAGTAGCTCACACATCGCAATATAATATAATACCAAAGAGTAAAAAAAATAAAAATTAGGGGAGTAAAGATATCCAAGTCTCACGATATGATATTTATTGCGATATTGTGGGAAAGCTCACGATATGGTGGGAAGGCTCACGATTAGAGATTTAACAATATTCAAATCTCTCGGTACGATATTTTCACAATATACATCTCACAGTGCGATATTTATTGCGATATTTTGTGGAGGCAAAACAAACAAAACTGTTAATATGCAAAATTTTTCTCTTAAAATGCCTTGACAAGACTTAAAAGTGTTAGAACTGTTATTTCTTCTTGTAGTCTGCACTGAAATGGAGCAAAGGATCATGGTCTATGTAGTTCTCTGTCATTTTTTAGCTATTGCTGCACCAAAACTCTTAATTAAAGCAAAAAAACCTTGCAACTCGTTATATTGTGATGGTCCACAATATTATTGTGAGAACTTTGACGATATGATATCACGATATTTCGATTAGTGTTACACACTTAATAAAAATAGCAATAAACTTAAAAATAATAAAAAAGAAACTGCTGTTAAATAAGATATAAATTATGTAAATAAATGACATCTATGCTAGTAGTATCTGATAGGGGTGTGCAAAAATATCAAAATATCCACATATCGTATCGTTTAATGTGATGATACAATATCGATATCGTGGGCTGCTGTATCACCAAGAGTATTTTCTGGTGTATTTTACTAAATTATTTTGTTACAGCGCTACAGTTTTGTTTTCGTTTATGCGACACATTTGACATTTTCACTGTTTTCATGATTGAAATGAATGTGTTTTATATGAACTTTGCACAAGAAGTGGTTTAACAAACACTTTTAGGATAACAGCCATGATTTAGCCTTTATTTTTTATTGAACCGTATCGAATCGAAAGCTCACAGTATCGAGATATGTATCGTATCGGCAACTTCTTAATGATACCCAGACCTAGTGTGGGATCAAACCAGTGATTAGATTTGAAAACAGGTGGGATCTTTCTGTCTGGACTTGATAAATGTTCATATTTATTTTGCACTTTGATCCTACTCCTGTAAAGCCTGCATAATTCTCCTGCTATGTAATCGTGCTTATACATTAGATAGATATCAAATACCAGAATATGCACGTCATAAGTACTGAAATACCGACCTTACATCAGCTATCATGTCAACTTTCTCTCATTAAAATTAAATTAGCAGACATAATTTAAATTGTTCATCTTGAAATCGAAATGATTTGCTTTGAATCAACATAACATAGTGAATTATTATCATTATTTGTGCATTATTATCGCTGTAACATACCCTCAGAATGTGTTTTCCTCTAGTAGTCTACCTCATAAACATCATAACCAAATGACCACCTCTGTTATCTTTTCTGTTTTCATTTATTTTCACATATGGCACCAATGTTTACTCAGTTAGATGCTCAGTTTTGCACTTGCATTTTATTTAAAGGCTCTATATCACACTAAATGCTGCGTAAACAGACCTGGAGTTGTGTTTTGTTTCATTCTCACATGTTTAAGTAACTCTTTATTATTAGTCTGTCCACATCTCCAAAGCTCAAAATGCTCCACTTTGTGATGTCATGAAGCTGTACTTTTCCATTTAAAAAGTAAGTTGGCAATTCCAGGGCTGAAATGATCCAAATGATTCTAGTGAAAGTGTACAGAGTTTAAACACAGCGGAACTGAATGATCACATGACGTGACTTGGAGTCAGACTTGAGTCACTATTTTTACGATTTTAGACTTGACTTGATAAAATGGACTAAGATTTGGGACTCGACTTGGACTTGAAGGTCATTGACTTGGGATTTGAGTCGGCCTGTGACTTGAGAAGCACTTTTAAATCTGAACTCTTTCTATTCTGGCCGTAATCATTCACTGTAAGATCTTGTCAAGACATTTAAAAAGGAAACATTTGCATTTCTACAACTCTTATATACTCTATAAATACTCAAATATAAATATACTCTGACTTTTTAAGTGCAATTTAGTTTAAAATTCATATGAATTGCAAAAATCTAAGCTATATTTGGTACTTTGGTTTAACCCTTGTGCACCTCTTTAAAATAATCACACCTGTGCTCCTTCATGACTAAAATATACACTGGAAAAGAATACCACAATATTTTTTTGCAGTACAAATTTTTGTCCAACTTTTTAATATCAGTGCCTTCATTTTCTTCTGCACTAATCATATATCCCAAATATAATATAATATTTGGAAATTTTAACTCCTTAAATGCTGTTTTTGACAGCAAAAGGCTCAAATTATGTGCATGAAAAATGTAAAACATAGATTTTTTTTCTATATCTTTCAGGTAATTTTAGTTTGTTTGTGTTGAAATTATCAGAGGTTGGGGGCTCCTCTAGAACACACCCAGATCATTTTAACCTCAAATATCTAAGTCTCTGGACTTCAGTGTGGACTCAAATGTACAAATGTCTTTCTCTTGATATAATCTTGAAATGGAAGATCCACAGTAAAAAATAAAAAAGACACTAAAACAAAACATTTTGAAAGGTTTTCTACACCAAAGAATGAAAAATACATCAAAAAGTAAAAAATATACTGGTAAAGTTATGTGAGTGAAAAATGCATTTTAATGGAAGTCAATGGAACAAAAATGTACCTAAGGACGACAGGTATGAGTTTTTTTTATTACAGACCGTTCAGTTAATGTGATCTTGAAAGAAAACACAGAAATTAAAAATACATCACAAAATACACACACTGGCCAATTTTGGTGCAATAAAGCCAAACTTATATAAAAAAGAAAAGCTGAGATGAACAAAAATGTACCGAGGGGTTGCAGGAGCGTTAAAGACTTGAAATGACTTGAAGCTCAAAGCAGCCGACTTGGACTTGACTCGAGACTCGACTTGGACTTGCCTGTGTTGGACTTGGGACTTGACCCGGACTTGAGGTCAAAGACTTAAGACTTACTGGAGACTTACAAAATGACGCCTTGGTCTTACCTCTTAAACGTGCGAATGAAACAAAACTCAACTCCAGGTAACTCCATTATAACGGGTCAGAAAATAGAATATGAGCCCTTTAATTATATTTTCTCAACTTTTCAGACTTCAAATTACATCTGTGAAGACATGTTTTTCTTTCAAATATGGAAAAATGTTTCTATCAGTTTTGTCGGACCAGCGCACTTCACTTTTCTACTTTGAAGTTTCCTGTTTGTTGGTGAAGAATAATATCCCACAGTGTGATCTGCCTGTGTTCTTTTGTGTGTCAGGGCCTGTGTTCTTTTGTGTGTCAGGGCCTGGGAGCTTCAGGGCACTGGGCTCTCGTTCTATAAATAGTAAACGAACGTGAATATGGAACGGTTGAATTAGCGTCAGCATGAGTGGCTCGGTCTCACACTGCAGCAGGCTGGAGTCAGTCTGCTCCGTCTTATGTGCAGCAGCTGGGGACAGTGACGAGGCGCCGCTAAATCAACCGTGCGCCTGCTCATTTCTGCCTGTAGGGGGCGTTGTTTACAAGACATGAGACTGTCAATCTGCACTGACAGCCCCTCGGATCACCAACAGTCACTCACACTATCTACATGCAGAGGCTTAATGGGGGAAATGTCTCGCCAAAGGACGTTATAATAAAACTGATTGGAGCTGGATCCGTGTACTGTTTGTTCTTTTGAATTTCAATTAAGAATGAAAAACAATGAAATGGGAAAACAGTTATTTAATTTTTCCATTTTAGTGTCAAAACAAAAAAACAAAAACAAAAAAACAGATTTCGACTTTTATTTCCAATATTTAATTTTAAAGTTTATTTCACATAAACACCAGTCAAAAAATTGCCTCAGTGCAGATTATTTTTATTTCATATTTTATTCTCTCTGGTTTATTTGCTCCTAAAGTTGATGTGCTAGAAGAACTTACCTGAAACATCATTAGAGTTTTGTGGACAAACATTTCCTCTTCTTTTATATCAGAAAGTAATTGTTGAACTCCATGATGAGAAGCAAGTAGCAGCGATAAACTTTGTTCAGTTGACACCATAGAACGAGAATAAAAATAGTTTTTATTATAGAGCCATGGTTGACGCTGAATTCACAAGTGGCTCAAAGCAAACCAAGAGAATAAAAATATCTAAATTAAAATCTGCTTTGAGACTGTTTTTGATTGGTGCTATTTGAAATAAACGTTAAATTAAGAATTGTCTCGATCTTGAAGGCGCTTGGGCTCGGTCTTGTCTTGGTCTTGAAGGAGTTTGGACTTGGTCTTGTCTCGGTCTTGAAGGAGTTTGGACTTGGTCTTGTCTCGGTCTTGAAGGAGTTTGGACTTGGTCTTGTCTCGGTCTTGAAGGCGCTTGGACTCGGTCTTGTCTCGGTCTTGAAGGTGCTTGGACTCGGTCTTGTCTCGGTCTTGAAGGAGTTTGGACTTGGTCTTGTCTCGGTCTTGAAGGCGCTTGGACTCGGTCTTGTCTCGGTCTTGAAGGCGCTTGGGCTCGGTCTTGTCTCGGTCTTGAAGGCGCTTGGGCTCAGTCTTGTCTCGGTCTTGAAGGAGTTTGGACTGGGTCTTGTCTCGGTTTTGAAGGCGCTTGGGCTCGGTCTTGTCTCGGTCT